CAAATAAATGCTGCTATTTATACTATCAGTGGACAGTTGGCTATACTGACGTGGAAGGCTGTGTGTGGCTGATGGCTCAACCACCAAATCTCCAGCATTAAATGCGTTTACCGCCAGAATCTGGGTTTCCTGCCTAACACGTGGAGACGGACGTCCAGTAGGGAAAGGGAGTTGCTCCTGGTGATATTGCAAAGGGTAATGGGCCGTTCATATCCTGGCCCTTAGATGATTTGTCGCATGGATTGGACTGGCTCCAAGTGTTAGTGGCTTCCGGAGGAGACGTTCGTTGCCGTTGGATTGTCTGTGGACTTGATCCACTTATCTTTGTACGGACGTTCGTCCGGGTGGGCCGCCTCGTTTAGATAAACGTTCGTCTGGATTGGGGGGTGATGGGCCGGACCCTTACTTGGGCCATTAACCCAACAGATTCCAACCGGTTCTTCCGTAAACCTCAGGTTAGACAGAAATGTTGCAAACAACTCAAGTGATACATGTATGGCTCTAATACAATTGTAGGTCTGAGTTCATCCAACAATCACGCATATAAATGCACTAGTTATTTTATCGCGCGATGCGCGAGAGAATAATGTCCAATTTTAAGTGTTGTATAGATGTTAATTCTTTTATAATATATCGTAGGAGTGTTGAGTGTGTTACAATGACACATTTTAGAGTTACCAAAAGGATAGTAAAAGCATATTAGGATGGGAACCTATTTCTAAACATATCTTCCTAAATAACTTAAAGAGATACTTTTGTTAAAAGAGTTATATCAAACAAAGTGTGTGTTGCCATCTTGGTTGTTAATACCTAAGTCGCATACTTTGTTCATGTATTTTATAAGATGGAGTATAAGATTTGATAGAGAGAGTACAACAAAAATAAGATATAAGATTTGATAGTATATATGATCGGTTAATTATTCCCAATTTTGATAAGAAATACGGAGTAGTCATGTCTTATTAGGAATAACTAAATTCTTCCAAATTAGTTATTGCATAAGTTTTTCCAAATTTTGTCTAAGCTATTAATTGTTGCTTCCACTACAAGATGCTATGGGTAAAAGAGAATATAAACTTATATGGTGTTTTTAAGAGTACTTAACATCAAATAGGTAGAATGGGTGAACCATGTGTTCTAAAAAAAAGCTATATGCGGCCTACAACTATATAGTGTTGCATTGATTGAGATTAACCACTAATTAGAAAGACAAACTTTCACCAGGACAAACTCAGAAACATGTTGAATTGGGTGCAAGAAAATTTTAACGCAAACTCTTCTGATTAAACTTACGGTTATATTTACACAAATTTGTAAATTGATGAAAAACATTAATACGGAGTTCCATTTTGACAAACAGGCTGCTTTTGAATTTCTAAGAGACCACTAAGGTTATATTTTTCATTCATCCTTATAAACCTTTCATAATTTATGAAGTTAATAATCATTTCCTTTCAACATGACCTTTAAAAAACATTAATATGTCCCATGGAAAAAACTAACTACTAAGAGTTCAACTTAAATAATTTTATTTCGACCAACAACATAAAATACGGAAAAAACTGAATACTACGTACGGTATAATTTTTCTGTTAGTACAATTAACACCACAACCTTAAAAGTAAATAGAATGGAAATAAGTGAAGAAAAGCTTTTCTAAATAGTCTTTGACAGTTTCAACTTAATATATAGCTACACACGAATATATTAGAGTAACTTTAAGGATTTTTTTACTTGGATTGTAATCTGTCCCAGAACAGAACAGACCAGAACAAACTTGGATAGTTATAAAAATCCAAAGAAACCAGATCAGACCAGACTAGACCAAACCAGATCAGACCAGACTAGCAAATTACAGTTCAAGTAAAAACATCCTAACCGCCTTTATGTTTGGACTGTCTTTGGGGAGCTAGTAACTTAGACTTTTATTACCTCTCATGTCAAATACATAATTGGTAACAAAAATGTAATCATTAATGTGGAGCTTCAAGAGGAACTCAACATCCGGTCAAAAACTTCGACCATTGCAGATGACCCCCAGGCACTTAAACTTTAACCAGTGAACTATCTAAGTATTAAAAGTTGGAGGTCGTTTGAGGGTGACATAAGAGACACAGATGAACGGAAGGCATAACGGTGACGTTAAACAAAAAAATGAGTTCCTTTATTGTGGTACACATCTTAAAACATATTGTACAATCTCATTAAGTTAGATGATTACACCAACATTTTTTTCATCCCTAAAATGCCCTAACCCTCATTGGCAATTATAAGATTTTAAGATAGAAGAGAGTAGATGTGAGTATTAAATGCTATTGAATACAATAAAGTGCTCCTTTGGAGGATTAGGAATTGGCTTCTAAGCCTAAAAATCTATAGAAACAACCACACACTTGTTCAATCGGCTGATCTAGCTGTTTTTTATGATCACCTCAAAAAGTAAGTGTATAGCTACTTTTTGAGTTAAAAACTATTTTTCTACTGTTAAGCTATTAAAAGACATTATTATCCATGTTCTTTAATTGAAAAAACTCACCCCTGGAAGGTTGAAAGTTGAAACCCACAGCTAAATCAATTTATGGGAGCACTTCGTACTGCATATTAGATTGATGTCATTACCTTTCAACATATAATATATACAGAGTACTTCGTACTCCGTATTACAGTACCCCCAACAATTTTTTTTTTATTTAATTGGTAATTGAAACACTTAGACACATTATTTAACAACCTAATAATATTAATACCTTTTATGGTAATTATGCATTCAATCGGTCACTTCAGCCAAAATAATATCACACACTTTCACTTCAAAACTTTAAGCCATTTTAGCCAAATCAAAAATTTCAGCTATTCCAGCCACTACTAAACATGCCCAAAGATAAAGACCTACATATCAGTATTCAAAGCTACAGTGAAGTACAACTCTCCCTTCTTTCTAAGAATATACAGATGTTTGAATTTACGAAAATTAGGTTTACAAAATCTTAACATTAAGATATATGTAGTATAATACTACGTAAAATATATAATATCTGAAGGTTATGCTTCCGTATTACAAAAGGCTTACGGGCCCCAATACACAGTTGACTCAATTTAATACCTAATAATGAAATACTAATACAAAGATAACTAAAAAATGAACCAAATATAATGTACACTCAAGAGACCTATTCATAACAACAACCAAGTCTTTTACCCATTAAGTCATTTCACTCACTAAACATAATTGAAAACATGACTTATTAATTAAATAAAAAATGACTTGATCAATAATGTTAAATGAATTATTTTACTCAATTCAATTTATTTATTCAACATACAAAACAAATAACCTCATATACTAGAATCACTTACTACAGACAAACATTTTAATATAGACCAACATCTTAATTAAGATGCTTACCCTGATTTGCATCCCAACAAAGGATAACGTAAACAAAAAGAAACGAAAAGTTATTTTCCTATGCTTGTTCTTACGTTGAAAAAGGATATATTATCAATATTTTTACAAGTTTAACTTGCTTAGTGTTAATTTATACCGTAGAAATTAGTGTATAAAATGAATTTGAACCAATTCTAAAAATGAAATTGTTGAATTTGAAGTTTTGAACCAATTTTTTGGTTTCCTATTAAATCTCCATGGTTTGCATTCCTAAGAGCATCTCCAACGATTAGCTAATTACTCTTATAACTTGGTTAGCCACATAAACATTTACACCAAAATTAAAATGTACTCCAATGGTTAGCTATAGCATCTTTCTCTTCATTTATTAATTATAATGTTATATTAAGGGAAAATGGTCAAATAAACTCTTTTACTTTCTCATAACCATCACCTTAGCCCACATACTTAAATAAGTGTCATATACATTTACATGTAAAAAAGAGTCATTTAAATCAAATAACTAAAGGTGACCTGATTTAGCAGGTAAAATCACGTGGCTTTTCCCAAGTGGCTTTTCCCCCTCTTGTTTCATTTCAATCACACATTCTTAAGAGCCGCCCTCTTTTTCTATTCAATCTACAAGCCACAGCTATTTCGTCTATTTTTTCCCCTTACCTACATTACGTTGGATTTGGTCAGCAAGGTAAGGGTCCTCACTCTGTTTTCTTCTTCTTTTCTTTATAGATATTTTCTTATAGACATATGAGTTGAGAGAGTAAAAATTTAAAATAAAAATGAAGAAAATAAATGGGGTAATTAAATTCTGAAAATTCACAGCTACCTCATAGCTCAACTCCTTGTCTTTGACAATGGGTGATCTTGTAATTACTATGAGGCCATGGGGGTGGGGATGATGGGTCATCCAAATGGTACCAGGTACCGTATTAGATTAGGGAGCTAAAAGTCCCTGTTTTCCCGTCAGACCATCAAATTTATTTCCGGTGCTATGAACACATCCGGCAACCATTTTTGTCCACCATAAATTCCAGCCAAGTGACCTACCATGGATTCCGAGCTGAATACCTACTGTTAGCTTACACCTTCTCTTTGGGAGTCTTTAATTTATTGTGACCAACTAAGATATGTTGAAGAAACGCCACAAGCCCACAAGCATGAAAAAACATTTTTTGGCTGAGTATAAAAGTTTGGTGAAGACATGAATTTAAGGTAAAGAAAAACTAGGGGAAAACGTTAGATGGGGGAAGGTGGACAGAACCGTGCACCAAGAAAGGAGAAAAAAAAATGTAAAGAAAAGAAATGGAAAACAAAATTGTGAAGAAATAAAAGGTAAATGCCACATAAGCAAAAAAATTGCCACAACAGGTCACCTTTAACTCTTTAAATGACTCATTTTTATAAGTAATAAATATGTGTGTGTGACACTTATTTAAGTAGATGGATTTAAGTGATGGTTGTGACATAGTACACAAACTTATTTGACCTCTTTTTTTGGTTATATTAATAATTCTCTTTACTCAAACTAGTAGCTCATTTTGGCCAATTAACTTACTCAAACAATGCTCTAATGGAAAGCTATTTGCTTGAAAATTGCAAGCAACTCTTCAAAAGGAACCATTATAGATGCTCTAACATTTCCCAAATTCTAAATTATTTTAACTAGGATATTAAAAAATAATGTTCCTCATAGATACAATTGTTCTACATGTTGAGGCAAAATGGTAATACATTATTTTTAGGGGCATATATATAGTACAAAAATGATTTGTCTAGCAAGCAATCTGAAGACTCCTCAAAAGGTATTTCTTTTCAGTTCAAACATTTCTAAATAATAACAACGATCAGCCTCGTATAGTCGTATGACCTCATTAGAGATCCCAAAGCCTCTTTCAATAATACTTCAATTCTCTGGGGTTTGCAAAATGTCTAATTTTGCTACATATCCTGCAACTTTATGTAAGGGAATACTATATTCAACAATTTGCGAGCTCTAACTCTTGCCCAAAACCCGATTGATTGGTTCTTGGAAATACTGCAGAGAAATGAGGATAGCTTCCTGGTGTTGTTGGCAGAAGATCAGAACACCAATTTTCAAGCAACAAGTTCACGGGTTATATATACAAAAATACCTATAGTATAAACTTACCTCAGTTCGGATTGTTCTACTTCCTTGATGCGGACATGTGTTCAGATAGAGATCAAATATGTCTAGTGCTTTTTTACCCTGAAAGTAGCAGTATACTCGACATGAATATATTTTCATAGGTTATAAAGAGCCCTTATGTGCCCACACTACCAAATGTGGGAATAAAATCACGTGTTTCCTATTTATCTCACATCGGACCCTATGATTTCAATTTCACAGTGGCACATCCAAGCGTACCCACATTGGGGTTCCTTATAATGATTAATAAGTAGGAATCTCTAGTATTTCTTTTAAAGATCCCTCTTTTTGGTGTACAACAAAACAACATCGAAGCCGTAGTATGAATAGAAAATCTCAAGGTACAAGAACTATCCTTTTTTGGCCAGGGGTAGGTAGAAGGTAAAGAACTGAAGATGCTACAACTTTATTCCCACACCACAATGAATGAACATGCAAATTGACTGAGAAGAACATAGAGATGTAACAATCTGAAGTTCATATTTATTGATGATACCTTCAAGCTACTGTCTTCTTCAATACACTCCTCCAGACCCGCAAGCCCACCAAAAGCAATTAATAGGTGTCTAAAATTTGAAATACACCAATAAAATGAGATCAGCTATACCAAAAGATTAAATGTACAAAAACTAAAGTACCATCAAGCACGCATTTTCAAGTAGACAAGTACATGAAAACTGAAACATGAGGAAAAGAAAGAGAATGAAGGCCATCTGCAACGGCCAATGGTGGCATATTTATAACTAGGGATGAGCACCGATCCAAGACTAGATCGGAAGCGATATCTACAAAACCATTAGGCTAAAGACTGGACTGGCATAATTACGGTCTAATAATGTAATATAGGAACACATTATTCTGGGTTTAACCAATTCTGGACCGCAATTCACTCAGACCTAGTTATAACATGCCAGCTTGAATTCAAACTAATTCCTAAGATAGAGAATAAGCTTACTTGAATGACGGCAAACAAAGTTCAGATGACTTGATAGCAATACCATGTTCTGAGGTACCAATCAGATGATCATAGCCTCCCTGTTTAATAATGTTCAATAAGCTAACAACTTAATATTATGAATGCTATTGCAATTCACTTGAGGTTAAGTATTTCATATACAAAATGAGTACAATACCTTATATGGACAATTCTTGAATACAGAACTAATATTGGAAGCATATCGCACTTTGTAGCCCCAATACATCCCAGCCTCTTCCCTTGGTTTGGATGTAGATACAACTTGGTGTGGTATGTCTGAAAAATCAAAATATGGAATTGAAATGGTTTTCTACTGCCTCAAATATATTTTGTGTTTCAACTTTAAATGCTGTGGACAATAATACATTGCTAATCATTATTATGCTTCTCACTCTATGAACAATTATATGGCAACTTGTCTCCAACTATGAACTAAGGATATTCAGTCGCCTATGTGGCATGCCTTTGTGGGTTAATTCACATTGTCTGGAGTAACAATAAATGCATGCCACATGGGAACATGGTCTCCATGTTTTGGATATTTGTCCCTTGTTCTGTTTTAATGATATACAGTATACTTTATATGATAAAATCTCATCTTAGTATATTGCATAAAATTGGTTTTAGAATACCTAATCTTTATTCATCATATTGCATCAGATTTGCCCCAGTCGTTTCTTGGGAAGTATAGGGATTGAAAGGAGGCTATCAAAATGAAACTAAATGTCATTACATGCTCATTTTTGTTGTTAGAATAAGAATGAAATTGAGCCAGAATGGGTATCCTAATAGTTCATAATTATTGATTTCCAGTTCTATTTTAAATGCCGAATAAGGATGAAATACTTCATTTCAAAACTTATTTTTCAGTTCAATTCTAATACCTGAATCTAAATGACGATCAGTTCCCATAGATACTGTGACCCTTTTGCCTGGGTCAATGACTTGATCAATCAGTACGTGCTGCACATTATGTTCATTCATCAATTAGTATACAATTAAATAAACAATGCTCCAGAGAGAGAGAGAGTAGAAAAAACAGAGATATACCCAACAGCACTTACCACTCTGGCCCATTGTCTTTCTCTAATTCACTAATAAAAGTGACAACACAGAAGAAAAATAACCATCCGAAGACTAAAAAGAACAACGTTTTAGACCTATTTATGAAGTAATACCTGATATACCATCTAATTATCTAAATAAACAGTTAGTTAGAGTATCCATCACCATCCAACACATGACAGTATGGTGTGTGGTGTGATAAACCTTCAAGTCACACCTTTAGTTTTGCTACAGAACCATCTACCAATGAGTGCAAGTCAAGACCCAGCATTTAGAAGAACTTTAGTTTAGGCAGGAAGAATGGAAGATAATAAAAATTGAACATAAGGTACTCTGACTAAAGTTACTACTATTGTTACTACACTTAAGAGGTCACAGTTTTATAAACAACCTTTATTTTAGTCATAAATATGTAATTATTTCAAAATAAAATTGAACAGTTGAATACTTGAACACATGCAACATTATATGAAACAGAGTTCTGCTGTAGTTTAGAACACGAAAATCCTTACCAGAAGAAAAGAATGAAAAACATGAAATGATTGGTAATTAATACTAATCAGAAGAAACCAAAATACCTTACTTAGCCCCACGTCAACCACTGTTCCTCCTGATTTTGGATGCTGATCTCTTAGTGTGACACCTGGCAACAGATAGGCAGCTTGTTCTTACTATATTCTGTTAATGTCAATAAAGAATATGACCTCAATAATGCAAAAGTCATAGAAGATGAAATGATAAAGATAGAGAGTTGTAATTGGGTGGAACTGGTTTTGATAACCATCAATGTCTTATATTTGCAATGTATACTGTTATTTTCATGCAATTGGTACAGCATACAATGATGATGGTTTAGGAAATTTTCATCTCATTACTCTGCAAGAAAGTTGAGACAAAGAAGGCATCCAGACTAAAACTTTGCCACTACAATTTTTTAGATAAAAACTATACTTCTATAGTGTTAATTGACAATAGATACTGCATGAATGTGACTAACCAAACCTAGTTTGGATTAAAACTGTAAAGATGACAACAAAAATGAGGCATCTTGGAAAGAGATAACTCAGAGGTGTTATATCATAAAGCCACATTCAAAGTAAGTTGAAAAACATCAACAATAACTAAATCCAAAGGACAGCGATGCCTAAAATCTACAATGGATGGAAGTACGAAGCCGCTTTGCTTATAGATAGGGAAAAGGTATCAGAGCTTCAAAGAACCAAAGCCTATATTAGAAACACGGATGGGTGCAAAGTTCTCACATCAGTCATTTAACCTTGTCAACAGAAAACTTACCTGAAGTTCAGAGATCAAGTGTGATCCATCATATGCACAAATCTTTGCACCACAATTATCTAAACTACAATAAAAGCTTTGCCAGTGTTTTTGCTCTTGCTTAAATCTATAATGTCATTTAATTATACACAATCAATTGACACTAAGTGTGTTTCACTGATCCAACACAGTTTGTCTTAATGTGGTGATGATGAGGCATCTTGAAATGAGATAACTAAGAGAGTATATATGCAAAGACACTAACATAGTAAGTTCAAGCCGAAATGAGAAATAACTGAAGGACAATGATGCCTAAAACCATAATGGATGAAATTGATTTGTTTGCAGAGAAATGGGTGCAAAGTTTTTAGCATCAGTCATTTAATCTTGTCAACAGAAAACTTACCTGAAGTTCAGAGATCAAGTGTAATCCATCATATGCATAAACCTTTGCACCACACATATCCAACCTTACACCAAAGCATCCCCAATAATAAAGAGCACACTAGTACAGTACTAGTCCTTTGCAGATGTTTAGAAGGCCAAGTTTGTTGGTATTCAATGGACTTAGAATACAGAGATGTACTCAATTCTAAATATTTTAAAATACACATAAACAAGAGAAATAAAAAATGCATAAAGAAATAATATACTCCGTATCATACAAAAGTTTAAAAGTGTGATTACTCAAACTAGAACTAGGGACACCAACTCTTCTCTAAGGGATTTGTTTTTAAATGCTACCTTCTCGAAAAGGTGCCCATTCGTGCTTCCGTAAATGATGTGGGGCATCGAGTGGGGGTAATGAGCCCTGACATTAATTTAAACAAATAAAGAACCGAATCAGGTTATGTTGCAAGGAATGTGTGTCACTACACTATGTAGAGACCCACTGTTGCATCCATATAATAATTAAATAAGAGAATCAATACCACATATCTTAAATTGTTATGCATGGGATATAGGCTCTTTCTTAGATACTGGGGTGTCTCCATGTACCTAAGAATCATCAAAAGAAACGCAGCACTGCTTTCATTTGCATCCAAATTATCCTCCAAAACGATGGCTGGACTATCTTGAGAACTGCTAACATTGTCAAATACAACCACCTGTATAAATAAAACTCTAACTCATTGTAATGCTGGTTTATAGCAAATTCCGTGCCATACCAAACCACAGAACCACCTCAAGTATTGCAAGGTAACAATAATTTGACAATAATCACTACTAGCTAGCAGTAGAATATGCAGAAAAACGAGTAAGACAGGGCATGGGAATTCACCTCATCTATCTGGAAAATAGTTGCAGCACGTGCAATTTGGCCAGCCAACTGTAGTAGATTAATCCCAAAACATGAATCAAAAGAAAAGTAAATAATGTATTGATAAGTAGCAGCATCAAGATCTGAATTACAAATTTGCGATGAGTCCAAAACCAAAAAAAATAAGTGATAAAAAGAGTGAAGTTGAAATTTTACAAATTTTTAGACACTTTATATTTTCAGCCATGACCGGAACATGAAACAGTTTCTTTTGGCATCTCTAAAGTGACTATGCATATATGGAGCCATAACTAAGTCGGGATACTACTTACGCGGGTGGCAAGTTCCAGGGACTGCGCATTGTCGATGATGGACCCTGGAAGGGCAATGGACACCGTAGGCAATTCATTAGAGCCGTAAATGTTACTTCCCTCAATTTTTTTACTTTTCTTCTTCTTGGCGTTCGTATCACCATTCGCCACCTCTTCTTTCATCTCAGGTCTGACTTCCTCTGAATTTGTTTCTTTCCCTTCTCTTTCGCGTTTCTCTTCTTTCTTCTTTTTCGCTCTCTGTTTCTCCGTAAGGTCTGCATTAGCGAGGTTGAGCTCGAGATCGACCTTACTGATATTGCCTGCAGTTTGAGCCGCTGCTTCATCAACTGCTCGTTGAGCTCGCTTCTTTCCCATTTGGACTACGCCCAATTTAGGTTGAGAGGAAGATTCTAGCCTCGGACGATTTATAGAACAAATCCGACCCGGTATTGCAGTGTAGGCCAGTACAAGTCCAAACTCCATAAAGAAATATACTCATTTCAAAGAATAAATTTTGCATGGTCTGCTCAAATAATTTAATAAATTATTTCCCAATTTTTTTTAGAGAATTCAAATGTAAAAGTGTTGATTTTTCTAAATTATATTATTATTTCTGTCCCATTGAGACATAGAGAGGAATTTGTGAGTTTGTGAATTTGTGTGATTATTAAAAAATGAAATTATATACTCCGTAATTGTTATTGAATTGATAAAATAAAATAAAATAAAATAAAAGTAAGAATGATTCAGAATTATACAAGCTTTACAATATTTGGTATGAGACAATCTTATTTGAACGGACTAACAATAAAAGATGGAACAATCACAATGGCACAGAAGGATGGAATGTTAAAAGGGCACCCAAAAAAATCCAAATTTTAGAGGGGTTAATATGAAAGAATAAGTTGAAAAAAGGTTGAAATCAATTTGAGCTTGTACAAATGTAAAAAGACTAAAAGATTGGTTCACTTAAATACGGATGGAGAATTTCAAAGAATCTTTAATACGAAGTAACTTAAGGAGGTATCCCTAACTGTGATTTTGATTTGATAAATTTTGAAGGATTATGAATTTTGAAATTCAAAGGGTGCCTACAAGATTTGTAAAGAAATGTTTTGTACATTGAAATTCACTAAAATAAATTAAAATCCATCCAAAAAATCCATCACAGATAAATTTCGATTTTTTTCTCAATTTAATAATTTGTTGAACAGTTTATTTGTAAAGTTACCAGCTCATTGTGTGAGGAAATTTATTTCTAGAGACATTTAGGAAAAAACAGTGCAATGAATGGGCTCAATGTGTGGTGGACTGATTTTGACAAGTCAGTGGTGTGGCTGATATTTGAGCACATCACCTAAAAAATCTTTGGAATCTTGGTCTGTGAGGCATTCAGAAAAAATACACTAGAGGTTGGGTGAGAAAAAAAAGAGTAAAACATTTGAGTGGTTACGTTACGTGTGTTTTACTGTTGTTTGTCTGAAACTAGTTTTTTGTTCACGCGTTGCGCGATTAGCTAAATGCCCAATGCGATTCTTTACACAAATCATTTTCATGAGATATTTATTTGTTAAGCATTTATGTCATACAATGTACTTCTAAAGACAACATACACTTTAAAGTAAGGCAAAATACATAAAAGTCATGAAAGTTGGGATATCGAATATCAAGTTTATCTCATGTTTATGGAGAACATGCATGAGCTAGTGTTGTTATACCATACTCACTGCTTGGATTTAACATATGAACTTAAACTGGAGCAATATACCTTATTCAACTGTTTTCCATCCCATTTCGCACACTGTTAGCAAGCTTCATTCGATAAAGTGCTTTGAAGAATTATTAAAAGTAAAATAAAAGCGGGATTGGAAGTGATGCTAATAATGAATTATGAAGAGGAGAAGGTAGTCCTACACCTAGAGTGGAAAGGTAAGCAATATAGTGAAAATCATGACATTTCAACTTCAATAGTATACAAATAGAGAGCAGAAAGGGTAGATTAATTGCACTCTTCAACTACCAGTAGCTCTGAAAATGGTCAAGAGGGATAGAAATAGGTTGATGACATCTAGTTACAAGGCAACAGCAGCCCATATGAATTCATCATAAATGTAGCGTTTGATAAAGTTGTATGTGTCGTAAACGATGTACCCACAAAATATCATTGATGCCAGACACCCATAGATCATCACTGTGATCTTCCTCAGAGGAAAAAACACCTACATAGCAATGTAAGAACATATTAAGATGTCTTCTTGTTCTATCATTAATTTAGTTCAACACAAATATGGGAAAATGAAACCAACCCTGGATCAGTGAAATAAAATCATGGCCTCTCCTTGCTGCACAAAATGTGTATAAAGTGAGAGCAAAAACTATTGCTCCCGTTAGAATGGCTTATTCAAGGATCACTTTCCCTGTTACCAATAAGGTCAATGGTTAATATTCCCATCTTACCAATATCACTTCTAAAATCACAACTATCAACCACCAATCCACCATCACTTGTGAGAAATTGGAATAATATCATATGGAATAAACTAATGTGGTGCCGAGTGGAAGAAATGTTCCCAAAAAAAGAAAGTAAAACCAAATGGTTGATATATAATGAACCTGATTTAAGTAAAACCAAATGGTTGATATGTAAATAACCTGATTTTACTTCTTTAAAGCTTTTCAATGTGTAATACTTATTCTCAATGAAATCATATAAACCAAAAACTTAATTGTAATGTTTGAATGTACTCTTACAATCAAAATCAAATCAGACAACTGTTAACACCTTAGCTATTAAGAGTTTTGACAAAAGACTATATTTGGCTTAAGCATATCAAGAATACCTTTAACATTTGAGTACTGTTGGTTTTAGTATCACAAATAATAGAAAGACAAACAACATTCATAAAAAATTGCCTTTTATAAAAGTATTAACATTCCAATAGGTACACATTCTTACCAATAGAAAGATTATTCACAACTTCTTTCACTTTAAATCACTACCTAAATGTCGCTTTTACTATATAGCTGCAATTGACACCACCTTACACGTCATTATCACCTGGGCACGCAACAAGCATTGCTAATGACTTTTTCTTTCGATGGCAGCAGACGTAATTTGGTGGCGGAGGTCCAGGTCAGGACAGATAGGACGTTGATAGGCAATAGAGGAAATAGATGGAGTTAGATTTAAGACTTCAGATTCTTTAATCAATTTTTTGGGAAAAAATTAAAATTCATCATTTTCTGTCTATTCAAATTCGGTCATTCTTTCTAATACAAAATGATTGGCAGATGCATATACACAAACCTGTAAAAAGATAAGTGTGTCAGGCATTGTTCTAAAACTCGCTAGGCGCTAGTCGGGCGGTTGAGGGGCGCCTAGCGCCTAGGCGGCCGACTAGGCCGATTTTTTGACCGACTAGGCCGACTCGGCCTCTACAGTGACGGCCGACTAGGCCGCCTAGGCCGATTAATCGGTCCGCCTAAGCCGATTTTTAGAACAATGGTGTCAGGTATAGGGGGAGAGCAAATGTTTGTAAATGCTTAAACAGATACAATGTGCATCCACAATACCCAATACGCTATATAAAAAGGATCAAAAGTAGCCTATTGCAAAAAATCCGCAACTCTATAAAAACAACTAACATTTCCCAAGACATAGAATAAATGTACCTGAAACCTTGACATCACTAAACAAAATGGGAAATAAAAATAAAGCATTTTTAAGAAATCAAAATAACATCTTGGTTCACCTAACTGATTCTCAAACAATAAAAATTAAAGAATCAAATGGAGATAGTTAACTGCATAAAAAGTAAGAAAATCAGGAGTGAAGCCATTTTCTTTTGTTTAATTTGTAACTTGAAGGGCAAGTGTTTTTACTTTCTTTGCATGTTTCTACATGCTGACACACTTAATTTACGCGTATAGCAACTTTCTTTATGTATTTTTTTCACTTTTAACCACCGGGCTATTTTCTAAAGGAGTTCAATGGAGTCAACTATATAAGGCTTACTTTTATCCATCGGCGCTTTGGCTAGGGGGGAACGGAAGGGTCATTAACAACTTCACCTGAGTTATGAAGTTAATAATCATATTCTCAACTTCATCTACGTACTTTTCTAGCACTCATATTATAGCTTTTTAAGAAAAAATCCCTTAAAGAAAAATTACAGATAACTTCTGAAACTATAGGAGTACATAAATTTCAAAAGCAACGAAAATAGGCCTCTTTCAATTGAGAACAACTTTTCTTATTTATGAGGTTGATAATTTTTCTCTGAACTCGTCATTATTTACGTGTCCTTTTGAAATTTTAAAAGAAAATATAAATACCAATAATCCACTTTCCAGTAAGTGTTAAAGCTCTTAGTGTATGAAGTTAATAGTTCATTCTTATTTCAGTATGAAGTATCATCTCCACTCTCAGTTCACTTATTTCTACTTTTGATAAGTTTTTACTTTCAAAGTACCTATTTAGCCTTTACTTTTACTATTCACTTACATCATTTAAATGTGTACCACTACTTTTAGAGGTACTCTCGGAAAGTCAAATTTTATTCTTTTCTACCTAAAAACCCATGAAGTCAAATTCGAAAGTTAATTTCAGGACGGAGGGAGTATATTATTAACTCAACAAATTAATCAGTTAGCTTTCAATGATACATACTCTCTGGCGGAGATTAAAAATGCAGGAAAACCCCACTAATAAAACTTTGTGGAACTATGATAGAAAACCGTAAAACTCCCAATTATATTGAATGCAACAAGTAATCATTAGAAATTAAAGGATAATTCAACTATAGCCTTATAGGTATAGTGTTTTTAATAAATCTGCAATTTAGATTTTCTCCAAGGTTAGACTGGTTTCCTTAGCAGACGGGCTATCCAAGAGTTCAGTGTTATCTCAAAGTGGAAACAAACTTCCAAGTGAAACTTGGAATGGAATACCATGGCTTTACTTTCAGACGTTTCTACCAATTTTAGAAGTGGAAAAACATATATTGTAAAAACTTTGTGAAACTATTCAAATACAAAACCGTGTAACTGAAAACTAAAACCGGTATAGATAGTATACCAGTGCCACCTAAATTAGCTGAAAAACAGTTCCTAGACACTACAATGGGATAATAAAAAGAGCAAAGAAAGCAAGTGACATCACTTGATCTTGCAAAACAGGTTGCAGAACCCAGGTACCATTACGGCATTACCCCTAACTTTGATTTCATGACCGATCTATTTAACATGCTTTCAATGGGTGACCGCTGACCAAATTGAAAATTGCTTGATGGCAAGTGTTTCAAATGTAATATGTGGGCCAATTTCCAATTCATTTGAGTATTGAAATCATCCAAAAAAATAGTTACAACGGCATCTCAAGAAATCAATCCCCTATTATTGTAAATAAGACAAAAGGGTGTGCAAAAGTAATAATTACTTGCAGCAAAAGATGGCAGCCTCTAATT